AAACAAGCTGCCTAGGCTGCTTATGCACGTCCCACGGGGCGCTCATTCTAGACGCCACAGAGATTTTTGGCTTTTTCCCCTTTCCTAGCGTGTTAGAATCCAAGCCTCCAGTAATACCGCGTCTTGGCGGATCCACAGCCGGAATTCCGGTATGCGTTTCGGGAGTTCGGAATCGTGGCGGGCGATTTGTTATCGTCGTGATGGATCTATTCTTAACCCGCGCTAAGCAAGCCTATTACTAAACTGCATGGGTGCATTTTAGACGGGAGGGTTTTGATGGACGGTCTGCTGCATATATGCCTTACCAAGCTACCATGGTACAAGAGTAAAATGTGTCGGCGATCGGCTGGCGGGCGATGGAGCGGTTGGCTACCGGGTGGCCAGCGGTCGTCAACCTTTCCCGCAAAAGGAAGAAGAATTAAGCAATTTAAAAAAGAAAAAAAGGGAGGGATGGAGAGAGAACGGAGTGGCTCGTTTGACACTGCGTCTGTTACAAAGGAAGAAAGACATCGTCAGACCATCTGCAGCCTTCCCGTAAGCTACAGTGCCAGGCCGTAAGTATTGGCACTGTATATAGTAATATTTCCACTAGATATTTTGAAACCAACGTCCGTAAAGTGTAGGAAAACCAAAAAGTGAATGGCCCGATGCCCAGAATACAAAACCAGCTAATGGTGATATTCATATACCTGTTCGGTCCATGAACAACAACAACAACAACAACAAAGACAAAGGCCCCGAATGCTCGCCCGAAAAAAATCAAACAGCCGTGCGTCAATGTTTCCTTTTTTGGTTTTTTCCCTTTTTTTTTTTTTTTTTTTTTTTTTTGACCGTCTTTCTCAGCCTCTCGGGGGACATTTGCCAACCAGAGTCGGAAAGGGGCCGTTGCTGATTTTTGGGTTGTCCACAAAAAGGGACGGTTTTTCCATAACTGAACCAGTTAAAGCTCATAGATATCTCTTGGGTCTTCCACTCACACTATACAAATGATGTATGTGTCCTGTATAGAGAGAGTGGGCGGTGGTGGCGAGTCAAAAATCGGA